TTAAGAAGAAAAATAGAAAGAAAGGAAGGAAGAAAGAAGAAAGAAAGATAGAAGAAGATGAGTATCTATCGAAATAATTCTTGACAAAGAATTTCTATTTATTTTTAAACGAGGGGGTCTCTGACCGGAAAGATAATAACGATCGAAAGAAGAGAAGAATATTACATAAACAAAAGGTAAATGGGTTGGTACTTTAGTACGGTGCATATCTACAGCCTTAAGGCTAACGCTTTCTTTCTCTTTTACGTATCACATACGCACCCAACAGAAACACACACACTCACACGCATACCAACTATATCTATATAAAATAGAGAAAAAGAAATGATGTTTCTTTAGTGAGTTCATCTTTCTCACACAGTAGATTCAACACAGAGAGAAGATCCATCTATTCGTTGAAGTTGCAACGACCGGAGAGCAGCTTTCTCCGTCGTTGGCCGGAGCAAGTACTTTCTCTCTCGTACTTGTACTAGTCCATCTGTCACTTTCATCCTCCACTTTGCCCTTATCGTCGACAGCTATCGCACTTTACTACCGACCATCGACTTCTTTTCTCTCTCTCTCTCTCTCTCGCTCTCTCTCTCACTTTATTGCTCAAACTCTTCGTCTATTTCTTCTCTCTAGCTACCTTTCGTAAATGAGCTTTCTACCGCTCAAACCACTTTTCTACTATGTTAACCCTTTGCTCACGATAGGCGACTCTCAGTCGTCATAACGAAGCACGGCGCAACCGTTTCATGCTGTAATTCGAGTAGCGAATGGGAGATGACAGTCTTGGTTTATGCTAAATTTTGTAATCTCCAATTGATAAGAGTGACGCAGTAAAAATACATACTTATAGGGTAAAAAATAAATTAAACATTTTTCATATCATTAAAAATAAAGAAAATATCTAGGTAGTTTCCTATAGCTGGGAAACCCTGTATACATAAACGTATATTTTTAATAGTCGTTCTGATTTATAAATACTTCCAAAAAAAAGAAGAAAAATAAAAATACTGTCAAATACTGTCACTCCAAACTTTTACGTAAAATATTACATTTCCAGGAGCTCGCTCAACCACGATTATTTATTCGAAAAATAATGTCAAACGAATATCCGTATTTTTTGTTTTCAATAAAATCGATGAAAAAGAAAAAAAAAAGATAAAATACAACAAATGTATAAACTGGTATTTTCTATAATAATAACGGACGTATAAGCAAACAATCTGCATGATACGCATACCCGTCCAACATAGAGAATCGTTTGAATAAAATAAATATTACAAATATTTCATGAATATATTTTTCTAGGGGAGGAATGTTTTCATACTTTTCTAATATCATTTGTATACCCCCCGGCGTTTGAAAATGATTAACAATGAATATAAAAACTGCAACGCAGTACACTAGGTGGACACAAAAGAATATTTTTCTTGGAAGTAGTAATAATTATGATCGATGTAAAACAATCAAAGATACGGATTAGTAGGACCATAAACGCGTATGTAAGTAAGTATTTATATGTGTCGTGTATATATAAACGTGTATGCGTGATGTATTAGTATGTGGTTGAATGACATGCACTCCCACGCTTCCATAGATCGCACAGAAGGGAAATAGAAGATCCGATTGGTTTACCCTGGCAGCTTAGAAAGAGAGAAAAAGAGAGAATCTAGGAAGATGGAGAAAGGATAAAAGAGAGAGAGAGAGAGAGAGAGATAGAAAGAAGGGGAAAGCAAGCGCATCCTTTTACAATTGCACTACGGATACTAACAACGCGACCCCATTTTCATCTCCGATATTAGCCCTGACACACGGCTATTGCTTTCGATTCCGCGAGATGTGATCAGGCTCGTGAATCCATAGTCTTCTTTGCGTGCTTAACCCTGAAGAGGTCATCCTACCTAGTGAGAGCCAACACTGTTTTCATGAATTCACAACATGAAAGTATAATAGATCGATCCCACTCTCTATTTCTTTCACATTGTGTTCTTCCTGGCTTGTTTTTTAGTTTCTAAAAGTCAAGGAAAAGTAACATTTTTTTTATTTTTATAAATAACATTGAAATTATTTTTATTTTAAATATTATCATTCTTCTATATTGTTTTTTTTTCTTTCTTCAAATCACAAGGAATGATTTTACCTTTTTATTTTTTTGGAAATAATCCTAAATAAATAAAATTAGTTTTATTTATATTAGTAGACTTGGTTCTCAATTTGAAATGCAATTATTGTAATAATTTAATATTTCTATAATTTTTCTATTCTTTTTCTATTTAATAATATAATATATTTCGAATATTTTAAAAATATTATATTATTATTTAACGATAAAAATAATATTTTCCGATCAATAATACACTAACGAAAGAATATTATACAATACTAAGGATATTATAGAAGTAAAAGATAATTTTATGATTAAAAATAATTCCCGTATATTTTGAACAGAATGCACGTTTTCTACATTCGATTGAACTCTCGACCATAATCGCTCACGATTTAGGAAAAGATATCCATCTTTAATGATGATACCAATTGTAATACAGACATATCTAAATACATACAAACACATATAGATATATATTGTTTTTTATTTTAATTTTCTTTTTTGTTGTTTTTTTAAGAATCCCTCGAAAGAGAAAGGAACACTCAATTATTATCTCGCAATTCGCAATAACGTCATCATCAAACGATCTTCGGACGGAACGACATCGGGAAAAGGACCTTTAAATACCGCAAAAGAAATAACACGTGATTCTACTTTTAACTTTGCACAATAAGCATCGTTTATATTGTTATCGGTAGGATGCATGTCTTCTTTTAATAGATTTTACAAGAAAACCTTTGGGGTCCTCTAATTTTCTTACTAATTTTTTTACTCTCAACAAATGCAATCAAAACCTTACCCTTCTCCTAAATTATCTCAAGCAAAAAAAATTTCGTATTAATAATTTTTTACACCATTTGATGTGCCTTCAAAGTTCTGCAAATTATAAGTGTCAATGGTTATGTTTAATAAAAATGAAACTAATCTTCCATAAAAATGTTGCTAATAATTAACCCTAGATAAATAAATTTTTATTCGTTCCAACAAGTAATTATGAGATTGCTTATGGTAATATAATTTATACTAAAAAAGATATAAAACTTTGAATATAAATAAAGAAATAATATAATGTCCCTAAAATAAAATTAAATTTAAAAAACAACTTTCCCTAAATAATATTTCTAAAATATCCGAAATTATTGTATTAACATTGAACATTATAATCGATCAATACGCAATACTTGTTAGAAAAGAAAAAAAACTCAACTTCAATTTCGCAAACGGTAGAACATTTACACATGTAAACGTAACATTTATATACTTTCGTATTTCCAATTTACACGTTTACAATAATAGACGAACATTGAAGGAACCTAATTCGTTGGTACATCTTTGCTAATAAGAAAAACATTCGAATGAAATCCTTCTTTTGTTGTTTTTTTTTTTTTTTTTAATTTATATTTCTCTTCTCGTTTGTAGAAGCTTAATAAGGGTTATTAGCTGCTTTCGCTTTCCATTCAGTTAGTTTCGTGTTCGATAGAGAAAATGTCATCGCGAAATAGTTATCCATTACCCGATTATACCAAAAGAAGAAGAAGAAGAAGAAGATATCGTGAGAGATGAGACCCCTGAGTGATTTTTCGATTCGATAATATCGCTGAAAATTGAAGGAAACAAAAGGGATAATCGTGTCGTACTGTATCTACATTCCATCTTTCTCTATAATCCTTTTTATTTATTTTTCTTTCCCTCTTATTCTATTTTTCCATCTCTTTCTTCCATTCTTTCCGTTGATTTTCGATTGTCCAGTATTCTCAATTCCATTGATATTTACCATGTCCGTTGATTAACAAACGAAAAGTTCATCGCTGTCTCATAAATCTTAACTACGATAAATTCTCTCAGCATGATGAATAAAAGCCGATGTACTTAAGTACACAGAATAAATACAAAAGAAAATAAAAGATAGAAAAGGATAGAAAGAGAGGGTTGATGAAGAACTTCAGGGAAGAATTTTTTTCTTATCGAATAATTACGACTCGTATAGATCTTCGTTAATGATCTAATCGTCGTGTATATTTTATATATTTATGTATGTATGTATATATTTATAATAGTTAGAGACGAGGATAATCGATTTGCCAACTCAGTAAAATGAAAAAAATTCTTATCTAATCGAACATCTCTAAACGTTCTAAGCAATATACCGAACAGGGACAATGATTCTTCGTCTTTTTCTTTTTACCTTTTCGATTTCTTCTACTTTAATGTATTTATTATTATTTCTAAGGAGGACATTCACGAAGGTGGCTATGTATCTACGATGAGTCAGGGTTGTTTCTGTATAAAAGAACTTCAGAAATTTTGCATGGCAAGCAAATATCGATTATTTCATATTGACAATGAAAAATGGGTACGAATATTCCTATGACTCACTGTAAAAAAATTATAATTCGTATAATGTATAAATAATGTTACTTTAAAATAGCACTCTATGAATATGGATTCTTACTACATAGAGTCATCTGGTAATTGGAATAAGCTTTGGGTTTTTATTATGGGTCTTTATAAAAGTTTATATTAATTAAATAAAATAAAAAGCATACTTGAGCCAATAGAAGTAGAAAAGCTTCATTAGCTCGTTAGGGAAAAGCTTTACGGCATAAGAATCCCTGATTATTTTTTACGATTAAATTTTTTCTGTAAAAAAGTAACAAGTATTAATAATAATAATAATGTAATAAGCAGTAATATTTAATACATAACTTTTAAGACTTATTCTATTATTTTTTGTCAAAATATTGTTCTTATTTTTTTTCTAAAATAATTATATTCATAATATTAGTTTATTTAATTATATTTTCGATTATTTTAAACTTAAATCTGGATTATTGTTAGAAGGCGTTATTAAAAACTGTTTAATAACTTCTTTTTACTATCAGGAAATTTCCCTTTATAAGCTTACATATCTCATCTGTAAAAATAACGAAAATAGCGCACATACAATTATGAAATATGTATAAATAAGTGAATTGTACCTCCTATAGGCAATGTTTTTTTTTTTTTCTACAAATAGTAATGCAGTAATGCTTTACTAAGAAATATTTTGGAAAAACTCATTTTGTTTTATATTTTTACGATCTCGCAAAATTATTTCAGTTTGTTTGAGCTTATTCTGTAATTCCTGTAATGTATCTTCTGCTAATCTATTTGCATTTAATAAAGCAGTATTTTTATTTCTACAAAAAATATTATAAAACATATATAAAAAATAGGACATTATTATATTACACATATTTTATGGAATTTTACTTACTTTATATCATTAATTACGTTACATAAGTTATTGAGATTAGAATTAGTGTCCAATTTTTCTCCAGTCCATGTTTTACTGTGTTGTAAAAGGGTTCCCAATCTTTCTTTCATATCTGTAATTTTTTCTCTTATTGCTGTGTATTGTTTGTAATAATCTTTGATTTCTTCTGTTAGATTCTCAGTAGACTATAATAATAAAATAAATAAATAAATAATATGATGATTAAGTAAACTATAATAGAAACATTAAAAATTCAATATTTTATATAATGAATAGTATCACTTATACCCTATTAACATAAATACTACATTGCTTTAAGCTAGACTTACGTATTTAATTTGTCCATTAGAAAAATGTTTATCATATTGTGCAATAGTACATTTAATTTCATCCCTGAAAAGAATTAACAACCCTATCTATTATACGGTAACAAATTTAAAAGTAATTGTATACCAAGAATTTATTTCTCCCACTGAAAATTATATACCATTTCCTATGTTCTTCTTGTACTTTTTGCTGCTGTAAATTTTCTAATTTTTGTTTGTAAGTTTGATTAACTTCTGTGTATTGAACAATTTTTTCTTTTAAAAGTTTAATTTTTTGTTGTAGATCATTATAGGTTCTATCTTTGGACCAGTTGCTAACAGATAATTTAGCATCTTGTGATTTCCAAGAATGTAGTTGTTCTAAGGATTTTTTAACAAGAATACTGTTATTAAAGAACTGAAAAGAAATTTTATTTTATATTAAAAAAAAATTGTTATACAGACACTTTGTTAGTGAAAATTAAATTAACCTCGTTGATCAATGAATCAATTCGTGTTTTTATTGAAATTTCATTTGATATATCAGCATTGTTTGTAGATATTTCCATATCCTTTTCATTCATTTTTCTTCAAATTATGATTTTCTAGAATATTTGAAAACTGTTTTTTAGTATAAGATAATTTTAGATCTACTTTGATTAATATAACAATAAGTAAATAAATTACTGAAATTAACTATGGAGGGGAGAGTTAAGGAGAATCATCTCATATGGGAGAAAATTTGAAAAAGTGTCCAGCTGTATGCTATACATAACAGTTCAAAAATCTTCCAGAATGGCGCTGGTGTAGACAAAGGATATGGTATGAATGTAGCAATTGTAAACGAATTAGTATAATATATAATGGAAGTATATTAACATTCACTAAGTAGACGTTATAAAAAAAGATACACAAAAAAATCATTATATGTTGTTTCCTACTTTATGAGTATTTTGAAAAGCGCGCTATAACTTAGCGGAAAATTTTCTTTCCTTGTTTATTTATCAAACCTACTCTAATAATATTTGGCGCTTCCTTTAAAATTTATCCTGATGCTAATGTGGCGCCACTGTAATTTAATGCAATTCGACGGACACTTTTTCATATACACAGATGATTCTCTTTACCTCTACCCTCCATAAAATTAACGATAAGCCCTATCAACACGGAGCCCAGATAACAGGAGGGCGATCGCAATGTATTACAAATGTTCGAAAATGAGGGGACAGATCTTTTGCCACTAGAGCGCGTTAGTGTGGCTAATATCAGGATTCTAAAATCTTTTTTGTCGCGGGAATGTAATAATTGTACTCACGCGTTAGTCAAAATAAATTAACCAAATCTTATAATTAACGTTAAAAATAGCAATAAGAAAAATTTTTTTATTATTTTACAATTATTCCTAAGATATTATCGTCAACTTGTTGTGTAAATCTATTCAATTTCATCTTACCTAGTCGCAGTTGAGTAAAGGATGGAAAACTAAATTTAAAAAGTCCAATTAAAAGTAAATTGTAATTTATTATCGTAAATTGCATTTTTTACAAGACTAAAAATGTCTATAGCATAAGTAGAGTTAAAAAACATTTGCATCATTGCATTTTTTTATATTAATAATTAATAACTATCAATTAATTATATTACCTGTGGTACAGTGAATAAAGACGTATTTCTCTGATTTAATTTAGTATTCTTATTACGATTCTTGACTCGTCTACTTGTACACGTATGAAAAATACATTTATTTACCATTTTTAAATAAATATTACTTTTTATAAATTAAAAAAACATTAATACAATTGCTAACGATACAATATTGTCAACAATTGTCAATGAAAAATATGACGTTATAAACTTGACATTAGCGAACATAACGAAACCTAGCGTCGTATTTTCGAAAATGATCTTTCCTTTTGTTTTCCAGTCGCGTTTACTAGTTATTTTCCTATGTCGATCGCCCTCCTGGTATCTAGGCTCCGTGCCTATCAATAAAACATTTGTAAAGCACTAGTATCTATCAGTATGATGAGTCGAATAGGCAAAATAGACGATCACCGATTTATCTTTTCACCGTCAGAGGGCACGTGTCGAATTAAGATTGCACCAGAAATACAAAAGTAGGGATCCTATAGGAGGGATGCGCCATGTACATTGCTGGGGGACCGGAACCCGATTTTGCGCGCGAATGATTCAAACATTGAAATAATTATGAAATAATTAATTGCATCAAATACAGAAAAAAAATGAACTATATTTAATGATAATTAAAAATTTATATTAAAATAGAATAGGTTAGACGAAAAAATTATTATAAATTCAATAAGAAAGACTTAATTAAGTTTGATTTGATAAAAGGCATTATAGTATTTTGAAATTTCAAAACAATTTGTAGGAATTTATACAATTTTGATACATATAATTATCTACTATAAATATTATATTAATAATAATAATAATAATAATAATAATAATAATAATAATAATAATAATAATAATAATAAGACAAATATATAAAACAATTAAAAAATATTTTAACAATTTAAAAATTTAACATATTTTTATTTCTCAATGTGGTACATGGTCATAGTTTTACTCGAACTGAGATTTGTTTGCTTAAAATTTTGTAAATGTTTGCGATTATACCTACGCGATGGTATAAGGTATTTACGGTCTTGCGTAGTTCTTGTTGAACTTTTGCAGTAATTAAGAATACACTGTCGAACCATGATTATTCATCACAAACAATAAGTCTGTAAACAAACGATAAGTTATAGGTTAGGTTTGTACATTTATACTTGTAACTATTAAATGAGTAAATTAAACTTACACTTATAGAAAATTACTAAAAAAAAAAAAAAAAACAATAATTAAACATAAATATCACAATAAAAACTATAAGTATTCCAAACTTAAACTAACCACAGCCGTTAATACATACTAAAGATAAACATGGCTGCGCGTTGGATCGGAAGCGGTCCCCCAAAATTTTCAGCCAATGGCACATGAGCTGAATATTTATGGCGCATCCCTCCTCAGGATCCCTATATAAAAGTACATAGAAGCTCACGAGTTCACTTTTCGTGTAACCAAAATTATTTTAGTTAGCACCGGGAGCATCAGAAGGCGATAGTAGATAACTAAAGCGATAACGGTACAATACTATCAAAAAATACAGTATTCTTTGATATAGTACAATTAAATTGTAATAGAATTTTAAATAATTATACCTAATTTTTAGTGTATACACATGTGTATGCCTTCAGAAATGCATTTATACATTTGTTTTAAAAGTAGTAATTAAAAGTGTTCACATAGAAAAAAAATCTCAAAGATTTGTTGTTAAGTTAACAACAGAGACCACACATTTTTGGGGTTAGTTCCATATCTAATAACATTACTCAATTCAAGAATTTCCCAATTGTCATTGAGTTCATTTTTGTCTGCAGTATTATTCGATTCATCCGATAAATCATCAAACAACAATTACTGGTAACGTAACAAAAAAGTCTATTTTTATTTCTTTAAATCGTCGATTGAGTCGAAGTAACCTTAAAACAAGATATCTTGTCTCCCAGCCTCAACGATCGGATCGCTAAAGATGAGATATCTCGTTTCCCGTACGCAATGTGTTAAATCCAACGATGATTATCTGTAAGAAGAAAAAAAATATATTAATTATACAATTAAGTGTTACAATAGTCTAACATAAAAATCGTCCAATTCGCAAAAAACAGGACTTATCAATTTAATTCTATATTTGTATTTATCAAATCTCTATTTACCATTGTGAAAAAATTAAATTTAAACGCGTGATTTAACAATTACATAAAATATAGGGTAAAAGCACCAATTAGTCAAAAAGTTCTATTACTAATATAGGTAGTTAAGAAGTTGACAAAGAATCTTGAAGTACGTGATTTTGTCTAAAAAAGAAAAAGAATTTTCAAAAAATGTTAAGTTTGATTATGACAACCATTAATAAGAAAAATTGAATAAAAAAAAAAAAAAGAAAGTGTTAACAGCACACGGTGTTCCCAAGCGGTCACCCATCCAAGTACTAACCGTGCCCAGTGCTGCTTGACTTAAGTGATCG